TCAAGAAGAATCCTATTTACATTTTTAAAGCCATTGATCATTTTTTCTTACTTTAAAATGTAAGAAAAATAAAATGAAGACTGGGCATGGTGGTACACATCTATAATTCCAAATACTCTGGAAGTCAAAGGTAGGAGGATTGAGAGTTTGAGTTCAGCCTGCAAAGGGAGCAAAATTCTGTCTCTAAAACAAAATGTTTAAAAAGCACTGATGTATAATCAAGTAATTGAGCACTTGGCTAGCAAGCTGGACTCTCTGATTTCAATCTCCAGCACCACAAAAAAAAAAAAATAAGAATAAAGGGAGGGACGAGGGCTGGGTGCCAGTGACTCACACCTGCAATCCTAGCTACTCAGGAGGCTGAGATCTAAGGATCACAACACCAGCCTTGAGCCAAGAAGCTCAGGGACAGTGCTCAGTCCCAGTACTGGCACGCACATGTGCACATGAAAGAGACATTTATGTTTTCTGTGCAGCTTCCTCTTGGCCATCAATGGTCAGGTTCCAGCCTAGTTTCCTTTTAAAGGATTCCTTCACTTCTGTGACCCAGGACTGGCCCCTCAGCATTCCTACCATGCTGTCATCGCTGCTTGCCCGGAGAAGCTTTCACCTAGTAACCCAAGCCCTAAACACTAAGTATCTTTATGATTGTCCACTTACAGGTGTTTCCTTTCCTCCCATGAGCATGCCTCTCTTGGACGCTCCTGAGGAGAGGCTGAGAAAATTTAAATACCGAGGCAAAGATGCATCTGTGAGTATGCGGGCCAGGCCATGGAAAAGCATGTGATGGCAAGATATCAAAAGTGGGATGCAAACTAGGTGTGGTGGGGCATGCCTGTAATCCCAGCCCTGGGGAGGCTGAGGTAGGAGGATGGATCTCCAGTTGCAAGCCAGACCAGTGGCAGACCAGCAAGACTTTGTCTCCAAACAAAGGATTGAGGGGGCTAGGGATATAGCTCAGTTGTATGCACCAGGTCTTGGGTTCCAGCCCCAGCATTGAAATAAAAAAAGTGAATAGACTTAGGAGACAGACAATTTTGGACTCAAATCAGGGTTTCTGTGTAGTCTTGAAACCACTTAAAAAAAAACAAAACACCTTTTTTGTGTGCTGGTACTGGCATGAACTCCGGGACTAGGTACTATCCTTTAGCTAGGATTACATGTGTTTGAGCCAGAAGTGCTGGCTTGAAACCACATTTTTTAATCAACAAAATGGAACTAAAATCAGATGCTGTGGTAAATGCCTATAATTCCAGCTACCCAGGGCACAGATGCAGGAAGACTGAAGTCCAAGGCCAGGTAGAGCAAAAGTCTGAGACCCTATCTAAGACAGGACTGTTAATACTGTGAAATTTATGTAATCAATCTCAATAAAAAAAAATTTCAGAAAGGTCTGGGCCTGGAGGCATGGCACAAGTGGTAGAACATCTGCCTAGCAACGGTGAGGCCCTGAGTTCAAACTGCAGTACTGTCAAAACAATACAAATGAGTAATAATTCTAAATGGGGCTGGGGCCAGCTGCATAGATACTGAGCTGCAGCTGTTTCTGCCTTTTTTTTTTTTTTTTTTTTTTTACCAGTCCTGGGCTTGAACTCTTGGCCTGGGCACTGTCCCTGAACCACTTTTGCTCAAGGCTAGCACTCTACCACTTGAGCCACAGCGCCACTTCTGGCTTTTTCTGTTTCTGTGGTATTGAGCAATTGAACCCAGAGCTTCATGCATGCTAGGCAAGCACTCTACCATTAAGCCACATTCCCAGCCCTGCGGCTGTTTCTGGGAGGTTTACAGAGGCTGCAAATGCTGACAGACAAGCATGCCTTGAAAAAGTCAGACTTGGATCAGAAAAGTCCAGACTGGTCTCATGGTTGAGATAAGCAGGGGAAGTGTGTGTGTGTGTGTGTGTGCGTGCACGCGTGCATGCGCGCAGGGGAAGGGGTGGGGGTGTGTGCGCTCTGTGTGTGGCTTGGATCAGAAAAGTCCAGACTGGTCTAATGGTTGAGATAAGCAGGGGAAGTGTGTGTGTGTGTGTATGCGCTGTATGTGTATGCGCTGTGTGTGTATGCGCTGTGTGTGTGTGTGTGCATGTGCTGTGTGTGCATGCGCTGTGTGTGGCTTTTCTTGCCACTCTGGCCTGAGGGCTGCTGGCTCTCGCCATACCCTACGAGTGTGTATGTGCTGCTCATGCCACATACGATTGGTGACATCTGGGATTTGAAAGGTGGCTTAGGTCTGGGGGAGAACCCACTCCCCACTCTTAGCGCAGTGCTCTCCAGCACGCATGGTTTCTGGCTGCTAAAAACACTGCATGACAAAACCAGTTTGAAACTGTACACTTGGTGACTGAAGCAAGGAAAATTTTGAGTTCAAGGCCAGCCTGGGCTACATAGTGACACCCTGTCTGAAAAGAAGGAAAATATTTAGAACAAAGCCAGAGCAAAGGCTAGCAAAGGGGGCCAAAGGGGCAAAATCTCCTTTCAACAAGGAGATGTGATTTGGCTACCATAGTCCTCAGGCTCCTACCTCGCTGTGTGGCACTTCCATGGCCCCACTTTCAAGCAAGAATCAAATCGCTTGCCTCAGGATGTATTCGTCCTGATACGTATGAACCTCTCGCACAGCTCCTGCCAGCAGTCAATCTTTCTGTTGGTCTTTCTGTTCAGGGACTGAACTCAAGGCCACATCTCCAGCCCCTGCATTGGTTATTTTTAAAGATCGGGTCTGATTTTATACCCAGGCAAGCCTGGGCTGTGATCCTCCTATTTCTGCTTCCCCATGTCCCTGGGGGAGGGATGGCCATGAGCCATGGCACCCAGCCATTGTGCTGGCTGGGATTGCAGGCTTATGCCACCACACCCAGCTATTGTTTGAGGGGAGAATTTTGAACTTTTCTGCTCTGCTTACCTTTGAACCTCAGTTCTTCTGATCTTTATCTTCCAAGTAGCTAGGATTATAAGTGTGAGCCACCAAACTCAGCTACCACATACTCTGTGGTTGGTCCCCTAAGATTTTATTGCTTTGTGACACTGAAGCTTTTCTGCTTTTTGTAACTTCATCTTGTCATGTGTGCACAAGACAAAATAAGCCAACAGCCTATTTCTCACAGTGTGCCCCTGTTGATAAGCAATGCATGATTGTAATTACTATTTCAAAGTCTTTAGTTAAAACTACATATCAGGAACATTGAAGTAATTTCTTTGAGAGTCTCAATACTGTCAAGTCTGTGAGCTGTCTAGAGATGAAAGAAAAAGGTTTTTGTTTTTGTTTTTTTAATTAGGGCCAGGCACCAGTGGCTCACGCCTGTAATCCTAGCTACTGAGGAAGCTGAGATCTGAGGATCACAGTTCAAAGCCAGTCCGGGCAGGAAAGTCCCCAAGAGACTCTTCAATTAACCACCAGAAAACTGGAAATAGTGCTGTGGCTCAAGTGGTAGAGAGCTCGTCTTGAGCTGAATAGCTCAGGGACAGGGCCCAGGCCCAGAGTTCAAACCCTACAAGCAAAAAAAAAAAAAAAAAATCCAGGCACTGGTGGTTCACACCTACGGATCACAGTTTAAAGCCAGCCTGGGCAGGAACATCTGTGAGACTCTTATTTCCACTAAACTACCAAAGGAAAAAAAAATCTTCAAGTGGTGCTGTGGCTCAAGTGGTAGAGCACTAGCCTTGAGCCAAACAAGCTCAAGGACAGCACCTAGGCCCTGAGTTCAAACCCCAGAACCAGCACCAAAAAAAAAAAAAAGAGCCAAGTATTGATGATTCACTCATCCCAGCTTCTTGGGAGGCAAAGATCTGATCCTGATTCGAGGTTAGCTAGGGCAAAGGTGAGACCCTATCTACAAAACAAAGGCAAGGCAAATGGACTGGTGGTGTGGCTTAGTGGTAGAGTACCCACCTAACAAGCCTAGTCTTCTGAGTTCAAGCCCTAGTGCCATAAAGTTCTAAATCGCCCCAGGAAATCTGGGTCTGGATCAAGGCCTGGGTGATCTGCTTGGGGCATCTAGGTCTAAGGTGGTCCCTGGAAGGTTCTCTCGCTCTTACCTGTCTATGTTGAAAGGCTCAGACCCATCCAGGAAGCAGGGTGATTTTCAGGAATGAATGGGCATCAGGTGTGAATCCTGGCCTGCCCATGTGCACACGATCTTCCTTTACTTGGGACCAAGACTGAATCATTCATTGCTTAGGGGAGTCAGGTCTTAAAGGCAGGAGAGAGCTCAGAAACATTTCTTGTCTCTGGTCTTAGCAGTTTCAGGCAATTGCATCTGTAAAAACGCCTCCAGAGGCTACAATGCTTGATAAGAAATGTACTCATTATCTTGCCCATGTAATTGTAACCCTTCTGTACAGTATTTTCACAATAAAAAATACGTTTATAAAAAGAGTATAGGAAAGGCAAAATGATAAAGGAAGGACAGATGATATGACTATATATGATATCTAACTCCGTGACGTTCTGACTTATCTTCTTTGCCACGAATTTTACAACTTCTTTGCAAAGTTATCCAACCTTACCTTGGGATAAAAATCAATGTTAATATCTTTTGAACAAACATATTCATACTTTGCCAATGCAAAATAAAAAGGACTAAACAACAAAAATAAGGTAAATCTGAATTGTCAAAAACATGAAATATATGTATGAGATGCTATTAACTGAAACAATAATCTTAATAAAAATATCTGGACATTTAAAAATAATTTTTAAAAACGCACTGGTGGCTCATGCCTATAATCCTAGCTACTCAGGAGGCTGAGATCTGAGGATTATGGTTTGAAGCCAGCCCAGGCAGAAAAGTCTTATTTCCAATTAACTACTCAAAAATCAGAAGTGATGCTGAAAGTTGTAGAATGCTAACCTTGAGCTCAGTGATAGTGCCCAGGCCCTGAGTTCAAGTCTCACAACTGACAAAACAAAAAACAAGCAAATGAACATGCAGCCGGATGCTTCGAGACACGTGTGATGACATCTTTGGTGGACTTACTGAATTGTTTCTCTCCTCCCCTTAGGTGCTACGGCAGCAGAGGGTGGTGGCCAGCTTGGAGCTCCGCAAGGCCAAAAAAGATGAGCAAGCCTTAAAGAGAAGGAACATTACTCTCCTGTCCTGTGATTCGGCTTTTGAAACTCCAGCCAAAGTGGTAGGTAGGCATGTAGCCTATAGAGTAGTGTGCAAAGATCCCCGTCTCCACATGGCTCTCTAAAGTGACAAAGTTTGAGAGATTCAGTTTGTGACTTCTCACTTAATTTCTTTCTTAAAGAGGGAGTAACATAGCCAGGCGCTGGTGGCTCACAGCTGTAATCCTAACTATTCAGGAGGCTGAGATCTGAGGATTGTCATTTGAGGCTGGAACTCCACTACACTTTGTCTCCAAAATAACTAGCAAAAAAGCAGGGCTTGGCTGGCCGCCGGTGGTTCACGCCTGTAATCCTAGCTACTCAGGAGGCTGAGATCTGAGGATCACAGTTCAAAGCCTGCCCAGGCAAGAAAGTCCATGAGACTCTTGTCTCCAATTAACCACCAGAAAACCAGAAGTAGCATTGTGCCTCAAGTGGTAGAGTGCTCACTTTGAGCTAAAGAGTTCAAGGACAGTGCCCAGGCCCAGAGTTCAAGCCCCATGACCGACAAAGAGCAAGGCTTGGAGGTGTGACTTAGGTAGTAGAGTGCCTAACATGAGCGAGCAAGCAAGCAGCAAGATTGAATTCAAACTCCAATGCCACTGAAGGGGCGGGGTGTCATAAAGAGATCAAGGTTAGAGCTAAAATGCCTTTGTTAGAAGGCTAAGGCTTTTTGCTGGCTGAGAGTCTGGGATCTGTGTTCTACTGTGGGTAGAGAAATTGCTACCTTTGTTTGGGTGCTACTACTAGGGATCAAACTTAGCCTGGAGTGTGAGGAAAGCAATCACCATTGAGCTACACCGTTTGTTCTTTTCCTTTGTAGTTTTTCAGATCGGGTCTTGCACTTGTGTACTTTTGCACAGGCTGACTTACAATGATTCTCCTGTCCCTACCTCCTGAGGAGCCATGTTTGCCGTCATGAGCCACCATATCTAGCCCTTGTGTTTTTCTTACCTCTTCAAGACCATCTTAGGCAGCCCAGGCTGGCCTCAAACTTGTGATTCTCCTGTCTCAGCCTCCTGAGTATTGGGGATTAGAGGTGTGCAACACCATACCTGGCTAGAAATGATTATTTCTGATTGAAATTTTTCTTGTTCTCTCTAAACCCGGAAATGGAGGGCATGGGCATTTGTGTAGTTCTAGGACTTAGCGGGAAGATCACTGGATGTTGTCATTCCCTGTACTGCTGTAGAGATAGCCAGGTGTCACATTCAATTCAGTAGGCCTTGGTGTTCTATTCCGGAAGGAATGAAGCAGAATGATGAAGAAACATGATTTTTGCCCCATATGAAAAGGTCCCTTTTTTAAAAAATTAAGATATAATTCAAAATTGAGATACAATTGACTATTTACAATGAACACTATGTGTTCACACATTCACGTTCAACCAGATCCTGTTTGTCACCTGCAGCTGGAATGCCACTGCTGCTAAATAGTCAGTCCCTTGGTCAGCGCCAAGCTACTTTCTGCCTCTATAGGTCCCTGTTTTGATCACTTAATGCAAATTAGAATGTATACCATGTGGCCTTTAAAAATTTATTTTTTAGTACAAATTCTAGGTATAGGTTTCTTCTAGCTTTCTTTTTTTTTTTTTAATGTCGGTCATGGAGCTTGAACTCAGGGTCTGGGCACTGTCCCTAAGCTTTTAAACTCAAGGCTAGCATTCTACCACTTTGAGCCACAGCTCCACTTCCAGTTTTCTGATGGTTAATTGGAGATAAGACTCTGTCCTGGACTTTTTTATGCCTGGGCTGGCTTTTACCCATGATCCTCAGATCTCAGCCTCCTGAATAGCTAGGATTATGTGAGCCACCAGCACTCGGCTGGTTCTTTCTTTTGGTGGCTGTACATTTCTAGGACTTAAATTTCGGTTCATTTCTTGGGTTGTATTTGTTCATAGTTCCTTTACTGTTTTTTAGTTCTGTACGCTCAGTAGGTATTTCTGTACTTTTCATTCTTGAGTTTAGTAACTCAGGTCTCTTTTTTTTTTCTCTTGGTAAGTCTGCCTGTGGGTTTTGTAATGTTGATCATTTTCAGGATTATTGGAAAAGATTTTTTGTTGTTGTTCCATAGTTTTCTGTTTTCCCATTCTGATTCTATTCAGTCATTTCCTTCCTTCCCTGCCTCCTTCCCTAAAGAACTTCCCACATGCTCTATCCTTTGGATTACCTTCTCAGCCCTTTTGTCCTTGAGACAATCTCACTACTGGCCTCAAACTCTCAATCTGCCTCCACTTCCCATGTAGTCTAGATTACAGACATGAGCCACCAGATAAGGCCTTGCTTTGGGTTTGTTTTCTCTTGCTTTCATAGAGGAGGGAAATTTTGGAGTTCCTCGCTTTCCTTTTTTTTTATATCTTTTTCTTTTCCTGCTGCATACACGAACATGTCCTTATTGCACAGGATAAGAAAAAAAGGTCCTGGTAAATCTACACGAGGAATTCTCCTCACATGTGGAGAGTGTCTCCCTGTGACCTATGACCTATGTCCTATGCCATGGACCTATTACCTATGCCACAGTGGGCCTGCAGCTCATGCTGGCCTGTCTGATCACCTGGACACCCTGATCATTGATGTTTATGCTTCCTTTTTGGAGGGAGCTCTCACCTAGATGTATGTATTCTTGCAGGCCAGCCTCACTCTGGAGGAGATAATCGAAGGTGTGAATGGCTCAGATCCAATCCTGTGTTTCTTGGCCACCCAGGCAGCCAGGTATAGCCAAGCCCACCGCTGCTCTTGATGGGTTTATAACCAGAAAGGTGTGCCAGTGGTCTGTGGCATCTTGGGATTGGTAAAATACCCATAAAATTCAGGGAAAGGCTCCTGCCTTCAAAAGCAGATGGCTGGGCTACCTTGTCCTTGAGGGCAGCTTAAGAGATGCCATGTGTTGACAGAGATGAATGACTTCATTTACATTGGCCTCTGCAGGAATGTAGCTCATAGATAATACCTGAAGGTGAAATGCTGCTGCTGTGTTTCAGGGCTGCAGAGCTAGTGCTGCAGCCTGAACAACAGATTCTGAAGGAAGTCTGGCCAAGGGGTTTGCCCCATCTGTTCATTAGGGGGTGAGGCTTTGGATGTAGGGGTGTGGTTTGGCAGGGGTGGGACTTTATGGCAGGGCAGGGTCTGGTGGCAGTGGTGGCTATTGAGCTTGCTGGTGTGAGTCCCCAGCAGTGCAATATAAATAAATACGTATGTAGATATGTGTGTATATATATATGTGAGTGTGTGTCTATGTCTATATAATATCACAAAGGTATCAGACAGATGTTCCTTTATGTGCATCTAGAAAGGAGGGACTTCCTCCCTCCTGACCTGACCTTTTTCACTGCCCAGGAAGATGCTCTCCCAGGAGAAGAACCCTCCTCTGAAAGTGATCGTGGACGCCGGGCTCATTCCCAGGCTGGTGGAGTTCCTGAAGCCCTCGCTGCACCCCCACCTGCAGTTAGAGGCTGCCTGGGCTCTGACCAATGTAGCCTCCGGGACTACGGAGCAGACCCGTGCCGTGGTGGAAGCTGGCGCCGTCCAGTCCCTGGTGGAGCTCCTGTCCTCCCCCCACATGACGGTGTGCGAGCAGGCTGCCTGGGCCCTCGGCAACATCGCAGGTGAGACGCTCTCCTTGGAGCAGCTTGTTTGGGTAGTAGGGTGCACCTGACATCCCGGGCACCCCTTGAAGCACTGGGGAAGAGACGATGTTATTTTGAAAATCATAGCTAAGTTCAGAGATGACAAACAGAAGCTGAAAGTAGACGATGCACAGCATACTAAAGTTAGTTTTCCAAAGGCTACCTGCCCCAAAACACAAATCTGCCTTATGCAGGAGGGGGGCAGGGGAGGGAGTTAAGGCTCTCCCTTACATAGCCCGAACCCTGAAAGCCCCGAAGCCCAACTAAAGGAACATACTCAAAAATGTATCCTTGGACTGGTCAATATGTGCTGTGCATGTACTGATACATTGAATTGAAACCTTTTTGTACAAATAGGTAAAGATAATTACATTTATAAACTTATAAATGTAATAAACTCATTATAAATGTAATAAACGCCTTAGTTTGGAGTAAAAAGCCCTAAAAATGCAGCCTTGGGTCTCCCTTAAGAGCGAGACTGCCTATCTAGCATGGATAAAATCCTGGGTTCAATCCCTAGTACTGCAAAAAAAAAAAGTAAAATTTAAAAGTAGGCCATGTGTGGTGTCTCACACCTGTAATTCCAGCTACTTAGGAGGTGGAGACAGGAATGCAATTCAAGGCCAACCCAGCCCCAAATAGTTATCAAGAACTTATCTCACAAACCCGACCTGGTGAGGTATCCCTGTAATCCTTACTACTTGGGAGACGGAGGGAGGGGGATCTCTAAGGTCAACCCTGGGCAAAAGCCAGGGACTCTGAAAATAAAAAGGGGGAGGGGTGGGCACCTGGCTCAAAGGTAGAGCATTTGTGAACAAGTTTGAAGTCTTGAGTCCGAACTTCGGGACATTCTCCCCTCCCTACTCCCCCCGCCCCACAAAAAAAAAGGCCAAAAAAGCGATCTTAAAATCCTTGTGTGGATTTGGGGTTTGATGCTTTACTCCCTGTATAGTCTGTGAAAGCACAAGGTAGGAAATTAATGGTGGAAGGGTTGAAAGTCCTGTGTTTTCTGGCTGAAATCAAATGTTCTCTAGGGGGAAAAAGCTCACCTGAGTCCCTCAGTGTGTGTGCATGTAGGAGGGGCATGTGTGGTGATAATGGGACTTGAACTCAGAGCTTCATGCTCTTGCCTGGGCTTTTTTCCCTCCCTGCTCATAGTTAATGCTATCATGTGAGCTATGTCTGGATTTTTTGCTGGTTAATTAGAGCTGAAGAGACTTGGAGATTTGTTTGTCTGGGCTGGCTTTGAATCACAATCCTCAAATTTCAACTGAGCAGCTGGAATTATACCCCTGAGCCACTAGCACCCAGCTTCCCATCAGGGTTTTTGGCAAATTAAGATGGGCCAGATCTTAGCAATTTCAAGTACAGAAAAACAGCAAGCCATTCTCATGGAGCCAGCACAAACACTAGCAAGCAGGACATAAATTAATGGCTTTAACAATACTCGCAGAGGGGCTGGGAAGGTGGCTCAGTGGTAGAGCGCTTGCCTTGCATGCATGAGGCCCTGGGTTCCATTCCTCAGTACCATATAAGCAGAAAAAACTGGAAGTGGCACTGTGGCTCAAGTGGAAGTGTGCTAGCCTTGAGCTGAGGAGCTGAGGGACAGTGCCCAGGCCCAGAGTTCAGGCACTAAGACTGAGACACACACACACAAAAACAACAAAAAAAAATGCTTGCAGAGGTGATGCATGTATTACAGATATTACCTCTCATCTTTGCTGTTGTTGTTGGGATTGAACTCTGGGCTTGGGCGCTGTCCCTGCGTTCTTCAGCTCAAGGCAAGCGCTCTACCTTGAGCCACAGCGCCACTTCCAGTTTTCTAGTGGGTAATTGGAGATAAGAGTCCCACGGACTTTTCTACTCAGGCTGGCTTTGAACCACGATCCTCAGATCTCAGCCTCCTGAGTAGCTAGGATTACAGGCATGAGCCACCGGCGCCTGGTGACCTCTCATCTTGCTGGATGCAGTAAGAAGCAGTCAAGACTGGTGGTATAAACATGATATGGTATAAACATGATATGTCTTCCTTTAATGGCTGAAGATAGAAGTTGAGGAGCCAGCCCTCGTGGCTCACTCCTGTAATACCAGCTAGACAGGAGGTGAAGATAGGAGAATCATAGGTCCAGGTCAGCCTGGGTAACAACTTAGCCAGACCCCCTCGATAAGGCGGGTGTTGTGGCACAAACCTGCCATCCCAACTTCACAAGAGATCTCAATCTGATGGGCAAAATCGTGAGCCTACCTGAATCACCCTTCCTGGCTGATTGCCAACCCCTGTGCACCCCAAGATTCTGCTTTGAATTGCATTTGGAAGGTATTTCTGCATGCTGAAGCCTCTGCCCCTACCCCTGCTGCCAGCTGCCGAGTGGCACCTGCCTGTGCTGTTGGGAATGTACATCCAGCAGACCCGGGAGAGCCAGGACCTGGTTCCTGGCTTGCCTAGTATCCTGACAAACTTGTAGTCTCTGATCCTTTGTACGAACTTTTGAAGTCAGACACCCATTGCAAAATTTGCTTTGTTCTCCCTTTGGATGTCATGTTTTGATCTATTTGTAGGCGATGGCCCAGAATTCAGAGACCTCGTTATCTCCAGCAATGCCATCCCACACCTTCTGGACCTTATGACGTCAGACATACCAGTGAGTGTCTTTAAACCACCACACCCAGGAAGCTGACCATTTCTGGGTGAGAAGCAGGGGAAAGGACTTTCGTATCATAGCTGGCCTATGGGCTGCAGGCTAGACCTTTCTGATAGGGCTCGGGGACTCAGCGTATTTTGGCTGAAGACTGAGTTAGATTTGTCATTAGGGACCCATAGCACAAGTCTCTGAGGTAACTAGCAGAGGTCTGTTACAGTTTTGGTTTTTGTTTTCCTATTTTGCTGCAATGCTGAGATTTGAACTCTGAGCCTCATACTTGCTAGGAAAGCACTCTACCACTTGACCATCTTCTATTCGGGAGGCCCAGACAGATAATCTCCAGTTTTGATCATAGTTATTAGGGGCTAGATTTGAGGCCTAGGGTCAAAGTTCATTCGGGTGGTAACAAGAGAGGAAATTATGTTTAGAAGTTTTGTGGTTTAGAAACTGGGTTCTAGCCAGGTATGGTGACTCATGACTATGATCTCAGCTACAAGGGGCGGGGCAAATAGACGGTTTATAGTCCACGACCTGTTCAGGCAAAAGTATGAGACCCTGTCTGAAGACAAGACAACCTAAAAACTAAAAGCAAAAGCAGTGGGATGTGGCTCAATTAAGAATATTTGAGGGCTGGGAAGGTGGCTCAGTGGTACAACGCTTGCCTTGCATGCTTGAGGCCCCGGGTTCAATTCCTCAGCACCACATAAGCAGAAAAAAAAAGCCAGAAGGGGCGCTGT